CGCCTCTTCCCCTACCGCACTGCTCCTCGCCCCGCCCCGCCGCTCTTTCTCGCCCCAGGTCCTCCCCAGGTAGACCCCCTCCCCGCGCCAGGTCCTGCTCCTTCAGGTGTCTCTCAGGTAGACCCCCCCGCGCCTGCGCCTGTTGAGGTCACTGGTGACTCCGGTCCTGCTGGGAGTGGTGCTGTCCCTGGGGGTGCGGAGCTTGGGGGTGCTGAGTCTGGGGGCGCTGAGCGTGTGGAGCCTGGAGGTGCTGAGCCTGCGCGTGAGGAGCCTGGAGGTGCTGCGTCTGGGGGTGCTTAGCCTGCGTGTGCGGAGCCTGGGGGTACTGAGTCTAGGGGTGAGTCGCCTGAGGGTTCTGAGACTGCTTTTACGCGGTCTCCTTGGAGTAGCCGTCTTCGTCCGCGTGTGCCCCTCACCTCCCAGCAGCTGCACGACTGGTACGGTCGCCGTCAGCGTCTCGCTTCTGCACCTCAGGGCTCAACTGCTGGGGGTTCTTCTGCTGGTGTCGCTGGTCCCGGAGGTGCTTGTACTGGGGGTACTGGAGCTGCTGGGGCTGGCGGTGTTGTGACTGAGGGTACTGGAGCTGCAGAGGGTGCTGGAGCTGCTGGAGATACTGGAGCTGCTGGAGGTGCTGGCGGTGCTGGAGCTGCTGAGGGTACTGGGGCTGCTGGAGGTGCTGGACCTGCTGAGGGTCCTGGAGCTACTGGCGGTGCTGGAGCTGCTGAGGGTACTGGAGCTGCTGGAGGTGCTGGAGCTGCTGGAGGTGCTGGAGCTGCTGGTGCTGGTGGCACTGCTCAGCCGCGCGTGTTCTTCGCTCCGCCGTCTCCGTCGTCTCAGCCACCACCTGACTCTGCACTTCGCCAGGCTCTCTGTCTTCCCTCGTCTACTGGCCTTCCGTTACAGCCTGGCTCACCGCTGCCTGCTCCTTCTCCGTACACAGAGCAGACTGGGGGCCTTGCTGAGCGTCGTGAGCTTGCGTCGCGTCCTGTCTCACCTGCCCGTTCTGGTCGTTCCGGTCGTCGTGTTCCTCGTCAGCGGCAGCCGGCTGTCTCCGGCACTCACCTTGTAGTTCGTCGTCCTTCCTCTCCTCCGCCGTGTGTTCCTCTGCCGTATCCCCCTGCGTCCTCTCTGCCTGTCGTTACTGACCCTGCGTCTGACCAGTTTCGTGCTGAGCACTCTTCTGTCACGCGTCTTCTTGCCACTGTTGTCACTGACCCGTCGTTTGAGTCTGCTGCTGCGTCTGCCTTAGTCGCTGAGCTTGTTGACTTTGCTGCTGCCTGTTGTCTCGACTACGCCGCCAGTTTTGTTGCTGAGTCTGAGTCTGTCTGTCCTCCGTCCATCGGGGGTGAGTGTGCTCTTGGCACGGACGTCCTTGAGGACAGGCAGGAGGACCTTGAGTGTCTTTCAACCGCTGCGCCTCATCTCGTAGCCATGCTGCTTGACCCTGAGGGAGACCCGGATGCACCAGACATCCCGACCCCGCGCTCTTACGCAGAGGCAATCGCGGATGAGTACTCCTCTCAGTGGCAGACAGCCATGGACGCAGGGATGGCATCCTGGAAGTCCACAGGCACCTACGTCGACGAGGTTCCCCCTCCTGGGGCGAACATTGTCAGTGGCATGTGGATTTTCAGGGTGAAGCGGCCGCCAGGTTCTCCGCCTGTCTTCAAGGCTCGTTACGTGGCTCGAGGCTTCAGTCAGCGAGAGGGAGTTGACTTCTTCCAGACCTTCTCCCCCACCCCGAAGATGACCACTCTTCGGGTGCTGCTACATGTTGCCGCTCAGCGTGACTACGAGCTTCACTCTCTTGACTTCAGCATAGCCTTCTTACAGGGCAGCCTGCACGAGGAGATATGGCTGCGCCGCCCTCCTGGCTTCACTGGGTCGTTCCCTCCTGGTACCCAGTGGAGCCTCCGGCGGCCGGTCTACGGTCTCCGCCAGGCGCCACGTGAGTGGCACGACACACTGAGGACGACACTTGCGGCTCTTGGGTTTGCTCCGTCGACTGCTGACCTGTCGCTGTTTCTGCGCACCGACACTTCGCTGCCGCCGTTCTACATCCTCGTGTTCGTCGACGACTTGGTCTTTGCCACTGCTGACACTGAGGCTCTCGCCCTGGTGATGTCAGAGCTGCAGAAGAGACATACGTGCACAGACCTGGGTGAGCTGCGCAGCTATCTTGGCTTGCAGATCACCCGGGACAGAGCACGCCGCACCATCACACTGACTCAGTCACACATGGTGCAGCAGGTCCTTCAGCGCTTCGACTTCACCTGGTCCTCAGCACAGGCCACTCCTATGGCTACAGGTCACTCGCTCTCAGCTCCACCTTCGGACGAGTCCGTAGAGCCGAGTGGTCCTTACCCAGAGCTAGTGGGCTGCCTCATGTACCTGATGACCTGCACTCGTCCTGACCTTGCGTACCCTCTTGGCCTTCTGGCTCGCTACGTGGCTCCTGGTCGGCACCGAAAGGTGCACATGGATGCTGCTAAGAGGGCACTACGCTACTTGTGCAGTACATCGGGCATGGGGCTCGTGCTTGGAGGACGGGGTCCAGTTGTCCTCACTGGTCACTCGGACGCCTCTTGGGTTGACGACCAGGCTACGCAGCGGTCGTCACAGGGTTACACCTTCAGCCTTGGTTCTGGTTCAGTTTCCTGGCGTTCTACACGTTCGTCTTCAGTTCTCGGCTCCAGCTGTGAGGCCGAGATCTACGCCACAGCCATGGCTGCACAGGAGCTACGCTGGCTCACCTACCTGCTGACCGACTTGGGAGAGCGGCCTCGTTCTCCTCCAGTTCTGTTCGTCGACAACAAGGCTGCCATTGCCTTGTGTCAGGAGCACAGACTGGAGCACAGAACGAAGCACATCGCTCTACGTTACTTCCTTGCTCGAGAGCTGCAGCAGCGTGGCCAGCTTCGTCTTGCTTACGTGGCCACTCGGGCCAACACTGCTGATATATTCACCAAGGCGCTTCCGCCTGGTGATCATCAGCGTTTCTGCACTTTGTTAGGACTTGTTCCCACGCTTCCTCACTTGCTGTAGGCTTTGGTTGTACTGTGATCTATATGTATACCTGCATGCTTGCTCTTGTAGGTAGATATCACTGTGCTGTTGTTGTTAGACATATATATCTGCATGTGAACTGGCCTTGTGGCCTTTTGCTTGTGCTCAGACTACGTGGTGACGTTGTGATCCACCCTGAGCTTGCTTTGCACTTCCTGCCTGGCCTTGTGACCCTCTGTTCTCCCCCTCTTTGCCTATGGGGGTGTGTCAAACATATGTTTATATGTTATAGTTTAGGTAGGCTTTAGTGGGGTACTCACTGTGGGGTACAACCCCTTAGGTTTTCCCTTTGTACCAAAACTCTCGACAGTCCAATCATCCCCCTTGCCTAAGAGCTTAACACTTACTCCAACAATTAGCGTGATTGTCTTGTGAGGGCTACTTCCGGAATCCATGTTTTCATGAGCGCTGTAAGTTTCGTTTTGTTGATGGTGTATCATGTACAGGTTTTAAATCTCTAAATGTACAAACAGCGCAGGCTCTACATGTGAAATGGTAGCATAGCCTGAGCAAGATAAGTATTAGGACTTGAAGAGCTAGGTTATACATTGCATGTGCCTTCTATTATTTGAATCTGTGTAACTTTTCCTGGACGGTCATTCGTCAATTTAGCTCGCTGAGTTTGGACTGGACTGGCACCGGCCAGATGGCCAACACCCACGGGAAACCCGAAGCATTCGTTAGGTCATTGTAACGCTCAATATGACGCTGTGGCGAGAAATTCATACTGTGTGTGCGACCAAAACGCTACTGATGCCCAGTCACAGAAGCGAGTTCCGTCGCACAGGGTATCTGTTGGAGGAGGAAAACGGGGCGCCAGTGCGTCGCGCTAATATTGTAGCGTCGCAGCAGGGCTCAACTCAATTCTGCACGTTCCTTGTGAAGACTGCTGCAGGGACGCCAATGCACCACGTCTTGAAAGCATGTTCACCAAGCGTTGGTCCAGCAGAAGTCGGAGAACCTTTGCTAGTGAAGGCATGTGTGTTCCTTTGCCAGGTGTGTCATTGTGTTCTTCAACCAGCGTAACAGCTTAGGGTCGATTATAGACGAGATAGATTCTTGTTCGAGATCATTACTCTAAATATGCAACAGATTACCTTGACTTCATTATTCTAAATCTTCATCATCAACCACTATTTTGGGTTCCCAGTTCCTCCGGCAGACAGACGCACAACTCACCGAGTGAAGCCACGAAATGTTCGTCGATTCAGCGAATCCGACAAGATAACCAACGTCCTTTACCCCTTTGCGAGTCGTCGTCGTCGTTGTAACCGTCGCGCGGCATGGACGATGATGACGCCGTTGCGTGCTGTGGGTGCTTCGGCTCGACGCCCTCGAAGCGCTCGGCTGTGCGCGGGAATGGCGCAGGTCGGTTCTGGCCTGATCGCATGTGGCGAGATCTTTCTCGCAGCATTAATAGTGACGCGGCGAGCTCAGCGAAATCTCTTCGTGGCGTGTCCATAGTGCTACCAAGATTGATAATTCCTGCGTTCGAGTTTTTTTTTTGCGTTTCTCGTGCACAACTTTGGCCATTTATCCCGTTGCACGTGGTGCTCGGGTAGAACACAAGCTCTGGGGACATTCTGGTTAGCGAAACTCAGACATCTTGCTCGATCACACTCAAAGCGAGATGCAGCAGCCTGAGGCTCCTAGTTCCACGTTTCCACGAAGTACAGAAAGCTTTGCAACTGCTGGTTTTTGTCACTTTAGCACCAGGTCCCGACCCGAACAAAGTGACTTTTGAGGTGATTCTAGTCGACTCGAAGGTCCCGAACCGAACGAAGCGAGCCTTCTCCGAAAGCCTCAGAGTCAGATTCGTACTGTGAGACGCGGTATTCTCATCTTATAGGCAGTCCTACGCTCACTCAATCAATTATCTTCCCGTCTCTCCTCTTATAACGAGAGCGGGATTCAGCAGGCGGCGGGGTATTCTCATGCACCCTTTTTGTGCAGCTAGGCCCCTCTCCTCCATGCCTTCTTTCTCTCTTCCCCCTCCCCCAATCCAGTCTCTGTTTCATCTTTTCCCCACCCCACCCCTCTCTTCCCAAACCGCTGTGTCCCCATCAGCGCACAGCCAGCCTTCCCCCTGCCCCCCTCCCCTGCGTCGTTCCTCCTACCGCGTCTCTGCTGTTGGAGGGCCTAACTCTCTTCCTCTCCCCCTTTCTCCTCCCTCTCTTCTCCCTCTCTTCACACCCTACCCCCTTTACCCGATTTCCCAAACACGCCCCCTCCCACCTCCTTCCACCCCATCCCTTACTCTCCCCCTCTCGGCCCTGCAGCTGGGTAAGGGCAGGGCCTTACTCTCCCCCTCTTTTCTCCCTCCCTCACATGCCTACCCCCTTAGCCCTCTCTGCAGCTGCGCAAGGCCCTTCCTCCAACCCTCATCCTCTGCGCCGCTTCTCCTATCGCAAGCTACAGCAGGCAGCTGGGTACTGGGAAACGCGTCCCTGCAGCTGGGCAAGGCAAGGGCCTTACTCCCCCCCACTCTCCCCCTTTTTTTCCCCCTCCCAGCGGGGCAAGGATCTTCCTCCGACCCTCCTCCCCTGCGCCGCTTCTCCTATCACGAGCTGCAGCAGGCGGCGGGCGGGGTACTTCAACGCGCCGGCCCTGCAGCTGGGGAAGGCAAGGGCCTTATTCTCTCCCTCTCTTCTCCCTCCCGGCTGCAGCAGCGGGGCAAGGGCCTTCCTCTGGCCCGCCTCCTCCGCGGCGCTTCTCCTACCGCGAGCTGCAGCAGGCAGCAGGGTATTTCAATGCGCCCCTGCAGCTGGACAAGGCAAGGGTTCTTACTCTTTCCCTCTCTTACCCTCTCGTCTCCCTCCCTTCATACCCTACCCGTCTAACCCTCTCTTTCCGCAGCGGGGCAAGGGCCTTCCTCCAACCCTCCTCCTCTGCGTCGCTTCTCCTACCGCGAGCTACAGCAGGCAGCGGGGTATTTCAACGCATCCCTGCAGCTGGGAAAGGGCAGCTTTGGAACCGTTTTTCGCGGGCAGGTGGACGAGTGGCTGGGAGAGCTGCCACGTGGCAGCAAGAGAGAGGTGGCGGTGAAGGTGCTTCACACGGAGAGCGTCAAGGCGTTTGACGACTGCCTGGTGAGGGAGGGGACAGAAGGGGAGAGGATGGGATCATGGGCTTGGGGTAAGGAGAGGTGTGGCAGTGAAGGTCCTTCACACTGAGAGCGTCAAGGCGTTTGATGACTGCCTGGTGAGAGGCGAGGGAAGTTGTTAGGAGAGTGAGTTAAACGGGGGTGGAAGAGGTGGGGAGAGGGACGAGGATGGGTTTGAGAAGATGGGAGAGAGGTGGCGGGGCGGTGAAGGTGCTTCACACTTACAGCGCGAAGGCGTTTGACGATTGCCTGGTGAGCCACTGAGAAAGGGGTGAGAAAAGGGACATGGAACGGGGTGAGTAAATAGTAGGGAGGAGTGAGGAACGGGAGAGTTTGTATTTTGTCTGTTTTGCGGGGCAGAAGGGAAAAGAATGGGGAAGGGGGGGAGGGAGAGGGAGGGAAGGGGATGGGCTTGAGGGAATGGGAGAGGTTGCGGTGTGGAGGTGCTTCACACTGACAGCATGAAGGCGTTTGACTATTCCCTGGTGAGAGGCGAGGCCAGGGAAAGGCGAGGCCAGGGAAAGGCGAGGCCAGGGAAAGGCGAGGCCAGGGAAAGGCGAGGCCAGGGAAAGGCGAGGCCAGGAAAATGCAAGGCTAGGCAAAGGAGTCATTAAGTCGAATCGTGATCACGTATGAATTATTCTGTTTTGTTCATCTATAATTGCAGCCTCTATCCCCCCACCCACCCACCCACCCACCCACCCTACTGCCCATTTCACGTGTCACCTTGAGTCCCTAAAGACCCCAATCAGGTGCACCTGTTATCCTTAGATTCTGCATGTGACGTGCCAATGCTGCTCTTCTCTCCCCCCATTCCGCGTCCCTCACCCCACAGGCGGAGATCCTTCTCATGCAGGGAAACACTTTTGAGAGGTCTCAAAAGGCAATGCTGCACTTCTCTCCCGCCATCCCACGTCCTTCACCCCACAGGCGGAGATTCTCCTCATGCTGGGAAGCCTTAAACCACCCCAACCAACCTGCTGCGGCTGCTTCTCCTAGTGCTGGGCGATCTGAGACACCCCAGCCTGGTGCAGCTGCCGGGGTACCGCATGGAAGACAGCCGGGCTACACTCCTTTCCCTCGCATCCCCACCCTTTCATCTCTCCCTCACTGTGCATCTTTCACCCCACAGGCGGAGATCCTAGTGCTGGGCGACCTGAGACACCCCAACCTGGTGCAGCTGCTGGGGTACTGCATGGAGGACAGCCGGGCGATTCTTGTGTATGAGCTGGTGGAGAGAGGGGACCTGCACCACTGGCTACATCCCAACGGTAAGTGAGAGGACGAAGAGGGCGGTGGGTGGGATTGCATGTCTTATAAGACACATGCATGTCTGCACCCCACCTTAAAAAAAAAAAAAAGCAAACAAACTGCAAAAAGCAAAGAGCTTGTGCCAGCCGGGAATCGAACCCGGGTCTGCACCGGGCACATGGCAGGGTGCTATTCTACCACTAGACCACTGGCACTCTTTTGGATGCACGGGTGTTATTTAGTAATGTTCTGGCTCTAGATCTTGTAAGTGTAGCATGCGTTGCATCTGAGAGACTTTTCAAGGAAGCGAACGTAAGGAATGAACTCAAAGCTGTGACATAGGATGAGACCCAGAGAAGGACTAGATGATCCACAGCGATAAATGCACTTCACAGTCGTCGACTAGGGGGGGTGGAGGGGGGTTTCAACTCAGGTGGCGTGTAGCTGATACTGGGCTTGATGCCATGCCGCATGGTCAGGTAGCATGCTCGGGACATTGTGCCAGGCCGTATGGTGCCAGGCTGCATGGTGCCAGGCTGCATGGTGCCAGGCTGCATGGTGCCAGGCTGCATGGTGCCAGGCCGTATGGTGCTGGACCACATGGTACCAGGCTGCATGCATGGTGAAGGTTCGGTGAGGGGTGGATGCGGCCCGCATACACCCGTTCATACAGCGCTGACAGGCCAGTCATGCCGAGGTGAGTGATGCACTCATTGGGACACAATCGGGATGGATGGTGCTGGGCGGCACGGTGCTGGGCAGCATGGTGCTGGGATGCATGGTGCTGGGCGGCATGGTGCTGGGCGGCATGGTGCTGGGCGGCATGGTGCTGGGCGGCATGGTGCTGGGCGGCATGGTGCTGTGATGAATGGTGCTGGGATGAATGGTGCTGGGATGAATGGTGCTGGGATGATTAGTCAAGGGTTGGTGAACGGCGTATGCGCCCCGTTGATGCCAAGCTGATGCTTTCATTGCGAAAGAACTGGGTTTGTTCAGTCTGTTTCCTTTTTAGTGTGTGACCTGGTATGTTGTGAGCTGGCTCACTGTAGGATGGCAATTTCAAAATAGGGACGTCGTTTCGCTCGAGCAATCAGGTTCTTTTTTCAAGTCTTACAATCTTCTGACTCTTTTATGGTTCATAATTTGGTGGATGCAGGGGATGGAGAGAGATGGAGAGAGATGTATGTAGGTGTCATCAGAACATGGAGGGACATGAACATATCGACTAGTTACGTTCTTCTCGGAGCACTTGGGCATGTTCTGGGGTATGATGTGTTCGTTTCATAGATAGTGGCCAGACAATGAAAACACGAGTGGTAACTGAAACAAGCCAAAAGAAAAAACAACAAAACTTCGGCTTTGCCAGCCGGGAATCGAACCCGAGACTGCGCCGGGCACGTGGCAGGGTGCTATTCTACCTCTTTATTAACAGCATAGTAAATGTACATTGGATACAAGGCAAATCCAAACAACTAGTGTAAGGACAGACATGCAAGTTAGTCCTATAGTGAGGCCTACAAATAGGCCTCTGTGACGTCTCAATGGTCCTCTCCCAAGTAAGCAAAGTCAGCTGCTGATAGAGAAGTCACCTCGGGTGGTGTGTGGTTGACGCAGTTTGTTCCGCCTTCTCCCTTCATCCAGACTGGGACCCACAGATTGCCTCACGGATCCTTTCCTTATGCATCACTGCCCGACCTTCTTTCCTTCTCCAAACTGTCGCACGTTTTCCCGAAATCCAAGAGCTACTCTCTTAATGGGATAGTACCATTTTCAGCCACTTCTCTCAGCTCCTAGGCTCCGAGTACTGGAATCCCACCCCCTGAACAGTCCACATCGGCCCGACCCCAAGCCTCGCTCCCTATCCACTTGGGTGGCTTCGGCATTCACAGCTCTGCATCCACCGCCCCCCTCAGTTACCTCTGCATCCACCGCCCCCCTCAGTTACCTCTGCATCCACCGCCCCCCTCAGTTACCTCTGCAGCTGGGCGCAGACAGTTTCGACCTTATCCACCCACTTCATCAACACGCTTGATGTTGAGTAGTGGCGGCACTGTGCCTTTTTAACCTGTCTTCGCACGGATGCGTGCGTGTGTTGACGCGGAAGCAGTCATCATTCAGTGGCTGTACATTTTTTTTTTTGGTGCCTCAAAATACGCACGCATGGGTGCTTGTGTTGTCACGGATTTATTTTCTTTCTTTTCGGACTTCCCCATGTGTTGTTGTCACAGAAGCACTGATCATTCAGTGCACGTGGGGCCCTTGACGTATTCGCTTGCAGCAAACTCCGACAACCCCCCATACCCCACCATCCTTCCCTCCTTCCCCCCTAGTTGATCCGCCCCACACCAACCATCACCACCCCAGACCTCTACCTCTCACCAGCCCCGCATGTTCAACAACCACCAACCTTCTACCCTCCTTTTCCCTTTCCCACACGCCGCGCCTGGCTTTGGGTGCACTTGGGTGGTGTGTCCACATCCGACCAATTCCTAACTACCTCTCTTCGTCCCCTTCCCCGCCCTCCCCCACCCTTGTCGATCCTCCCCACCACACTCACCACTCCCCCAGACCTCTCTCCTGACAGCCCGTGCCTGACATGGGAGCAGCCCTCGAAAGTGGCAGGTGGGTGCCTGACATGGGAGCGAGGGCTTGCGTTTGGCGTATCCGATGTCAACCAATTTCCCCTTCCTTGTTTCCCCTCCACCACAACTTTCCCTCCAGACCTCTCCCCGGACAGCCCGTTCCTGACGTGGGAGCAGCGTGTGCAGGTGGCAGTGGGCAAATGGCAGTCCAGCATGCAAGAAAACCACCTGTTTCCTCCCTCCCATCGGCCGTCCCTCCAGACCTCTCCCCAGACAGCCCGTGCCTGACATGGGAGCAGCGCGTGCAGGTGGCAGTGGGCATGGCGGAGGGCATGGCATACCTGCACGGGCAGAACATCATCCACCGCGACTTCAAGTCCCACAACGTCATGCTGGACAGTGTAAGTGGGACGTGGGGTCTGTACTCTGTAGTGTAGTGTATGTTCATTTAGAGTAAACCACGCTTGGCAGTGGGCATGGCAGAGGGCATGGCATATCTGCACGGGCAGAACATCATTCACCGTGATTTCAAATCGCACAACGTCATGCTGGACAGGGTAAGTCGGAGGGGAGGTTGCTGGGGAGGGATACTGAGGAATGTGCCCTCTGGTGGTGGTCCTGCTGGCGTATCTCCACGGGCAGAACATCATTCGCCGCGACTTCAAGTTTCATAACGTCATGCTGGACAGGGTAGGTTGCACGGAGGGGGGTCTGCAGGTGTCCATGATGTTGTGGACACGAGTGCTCTTGCATGGACTAGGCATGGCGGAGGGCCTGGCGTACACCCCACAGCCTTCCCCCCCCCCCCCCTTCCCCTTCCTTTGCTGATATCTGTTTCCGCAGCAGCTTAGAGCCAAGGTGACGTTTTTTGGCATGGCGACGCGGGGACCAGAGGAGGGCAAGACTCCACATGGTTTCTCGAATCCCCCTCTTACCTCCCCCCCGCCTCCCCCTCCCCCTCCCCCTTCTCCTTCCTTCTCCAATTTCTGTTTCCGCAGGAGCTTAGAGCGAAGGTGACGGAGTTCCACATGGCCACGCGGGGACCAGAGGAGGGCAAGACTCAACAATCAATTTAATCAAACCCCCCCTCTAATCCACAACCTACCCAATCCGTGTCACCAGGAGCTGAGAGCCAAGGTGACGGACTTCGGCATGGCTACACAGGGACCGGAGGAGGGCAAGACTCCACATTGGTTTCTCGATTCCCCCCCGTAACCCCCCCCCCCCCCCGCCTCCCCCTTCCCCCCCCCTCTCCCCTTTCCTTTTCCGATGTCTATTTCCGCAGGAGCTGAGAGCCAAGGTGACGGATTTTGGCATGGCGACACGGGGACCAGATGAGGGCAAGACGCACGTGTCCACTCGCATCATGGGCACCCTGGGGTACCTCGACCCTGACTATATCGACACAGGTGGGGAGGCTTGTAACGAGGATATGACTTGTGCCTGTTGGGCATGGATGGGAGGAGGGGAGGAGGGCAAGACGCACGTGTCCACTTGCATCATAAGCACCCTGGGGTACCTCGACCCTGACGATATCGACACAGGTGGGGAGGCTTGTAAAGAGTGTGCTGTTCTCACAGGTGGGGAGGCTTGTAACGAATGTGCTGTTCTCACAGGTGGGGAGGCTTGTAACGAGTGTGCTGTTCTCACAGGTGGGGAGGCTTGTAACGAGTGTGCTGTTCTCACAGGTGGGGAGGCTTGTAACGAATGTGCTGTTCTCACAGGTGGGGAGGCTTGTAACGAGTGTGCTGTTCTCACAGGTGGGGAGGCTTGTAACGAATGTGCTGTTCTCACAGGTGGGGAGGCTTGTAACGAGTGTGCTGTTCTCACCGGTGGGGAGGCTTGTAACGAGTGTGCTGTTCTCACAGGTGAGGAGGCTTGTAACGAGTGTGCTGTTCTCACAGGTGAGGAGGCTTGTAACGAGTGTGCTGTTCTCACAGGTGAGGAGGCTTGTAACGAATTTGCTGTTCTCACAGGTGGGGAGGCTTGTAACGAGTGTGCTGTTCTCACCGTTGGGGAGGCTTGTAACGAGTGTGCTGTTCTCACAGGTGAGAAGGCTTGTAACGAGTGTGCTGTTCTCACAGGTGAGGAGGCTTGTAACGAGTGTGCTGTTCTCACAGGTGGGGAGGCTTGTAACGAATTTGCTGTTCTCACAGGTGGGGAGGCTTGTAACGAGTGTGCTGTTCTCACAGGTGGGGAGGCTTGTAACGAGTGTGCTGTTCTCACAGGTGGGGAGGCTTGTAACGAGTGTGCTGCTCTCACAGGTGGGGAGGCTTGTAACGAGTGTGCTGTTCTCACAGGTGGGGAGGCGATGAACACGGATATGACTTGTGCACTGTTTTCTCACCCTCATCCTGTGGGGCGCCACCCCCTCATCCCCCTCCTCTCCACTCTCAGGCCACCTCACCCCGCTGAGCGATGTCTTTTCCTTGAGTGTGGTTCTGCTTGAGCTGCTCACCGGCCGATCCCCCGCCACCACCGCCACCCACAACCGCCTATTCTCCTTCCCCTTCTGGTTTCCCCCTCCCATAACCCCTCTATTGCTCTCCTCCTTCCCCTTCCCCCGTACCACACCCCCTGCCCTCTCACTCTGCGTGCTTTGACCCCCCACCCCTTCCAAAACACCTCACCCCTCTGAGTGATGTCTTCTTCTTGGGTGTGGTTCTGCTCGAGCTGCTCACCCCCTTGTGCGACACCCCCCAGCCCCCACTCGTTCCCACGCTCAGGTCACCTCACCCCGCTGAGCGATGTCTTCTCTTTGGGCGTCGTTCTGCTTGAGCTGCTCACTGGCCGATCCCCTGCCATCACTGCCACCCACAACTGCCTCTTCCCGTTCCCCTTCCCGTTTCCCCCTTCTGTAACCCCTTTCTCCCTACCCTCCTTCCCCTTCCCTCCCACCACACACCCCACCCTCTCTCCCTGCATGTTTCACCCCCCTCCCCCCCTCCAGGCCACCTCACCCCGCTGAGCGATGTCTTCTCTCTGGGCGTGGTTCTCCTGGAACTGCTCACCGGCCGATCCCCCGCCACCACCGCCACCCACAACCGCCTCTTCCCCTGGATCCACAAACAGCTGGCGCGGGGGAGGAAAGGAGGAGGAGACTCAGCATCAGCAGCAGCGGCAGCAGCAGAAGGTAATGACGAGCAGCAGCAGCAGCAGCAGCAGCAGCAGGAGGGGAAGAAGGCGGATGGGTTTCATATAAGTCAGGTTGTGGACCCGCGCTTGAAGGGGCAGTTCTCGGCAAGTGCAGCGAAGAGGCTGCTGCTGGTGGCGCTGCAATGTAGTCAAGAGGAGCCGAGCAAGCGACCTGGCATGAACCGTGTGGTGGAGAGATTGAGGGAGATCGCTGCTGGTGGGGGAGGAGCAAGAGGAGCAGGAGGAGCAGAAGGAGCAGGAGTGCAAGGGGTGGCACGGGGAGGGGTGGCAGTGGCAGGGGTAGGAGTTCAAATGTAGGAAGCAGGCGGTTTTTAGTGAATGTAGCGAAGAGGCTGCTGCTGGTGGCGCTGCAATGTAGTCAAGAGGAGCCGAGCAAGCGACCCGACATGAACCGTGTTGTACAGAGATTGAGGGAGATCGCTGCTTCTGGGGTGGGGAAAGGAGGGGCGCAAAGGGTGGAAGGAGGAGGAGCAGAAGTGCAAGAGATGGCAGGCGGAGGGGCAGTAGTGGCAGGGGTAGGAGTTTAATTGTAGGTAACGGTCAGTTTTCGGCTTAGTTGGTCATTTACGTTTACGTTTACGTACGTACGTGTACGGGTACGTACGTTTACGCGGCTGTTGGGTTGGAGGCCTAATGTACGGGCAGGCGAAAAAATTTCTGGGCTGCCCGAACATGTATATTTTCTCTATAGTTCTCCCTCGTAATCATGATTTCCATCATATAGTGTAAACATTCCATCATGTAGTGTACATTTAGATTTGACTCAACGAATTGGTTTGACTCGAAGTTGGAATTCGCCGAAACCAGTGAAGCTCGGCGGTGACGAAACTGCCGAGCGGGTGAGATTCGCTTACCTTGCAAACGAAGCAATCGCGATCTGAGTCAAACTGTTCGCAATGTTCTATCGCGAACAGTTTGCACACATTCGGATCTACTCCCACCACAATTTCCTCCCTCCTTCTCTCGACAGACTTAGCTATCGTGGTTCTACCGCCATAGTACGTAGGGTAGTCGCCACACCATAGCAACCCTAGCTAGCAACCTTCCTGTTTCTTACATTACTACTTTGAAAAACGTCGCGCCGTTTTGCTAACACGCTAACAGAGCACAGGTCCTCGAAAACTTTTTTTTTTTTTAAGTTTTTTCAAAAACCGTTTTCGAAGAAATTTCAACGCGAACTTTTTTTTTCTGACCTGCCCGGCGTACGTACACGTACGTACGCGTACGTACACGTAAACGTACATGTACGCGTACGTTACGTGTACGTGGGCTGATATGGTGTAAATGACCAACTTAGGTTTTCGGCTGGAAGAGGCTGCTGCTGCTGGCGCTGCAGTGCAGCCAGGAGGAGGCGAGAAAGCGACCTGAGATGAGTTGTGTGGTGCAAAGATTAAAGAAGATTGCTGCCGGTGGTTGGGGGGGAGGAAAAGGAGTGGCAGAAAGGTAGGAAGGGAAGAAGCAGGAGGAGGAGGAGTAGGGCAAGGGATGGCAGGGGGAGGGGTGGCAATGCCAGGGGTAGGGAAAAGGGTGGCAGGAGTAGGAGTGTAGGTATAGGAACTATTTTTGGCAGCCTTGTGGAGAGACAGATGAGGTTCAGATGAAGTCAGCGTCAGCGTACCTGTGAGGAGGTGGCATGGCGCAGCAGTCACATGGCATGAACCAATCAGCATTGGGCATGTCAAAAGCACACATACGGCACGGCAGAACCACACATACGGCACGGCAGAACCATCTATACATCATGTCAAACCCTCCCATATGGCCTGCAGCAGCAGCATGATGGCAGGGCAGAGCACCCTTGTGAATCAGGGGGGAAGCAGCACATGATGGCATTGGGGGCAGGGAGCTGGGCCTCATAGGATGGATGGGGAGGTATATAAGGGGGCATGGAACAAACAGCCAGGGGAGGGGAGGTGGGGGGAGTTGGAGAGGGGGAGGTTCCTCAGTGGGTGATAATTCTCTTCAGTGGGTGATGATTCTTTCAGTTAGTGGTACCAGTATTTCCCACTTTTCCGCACCATACTCTGACGCTGCTTTTGTGCCCGCAGATATGGTAGGCCATGGAAGCAGTTGTAGCTTGGAAGAGAACATGCAGCAGAGTGCATGTGTGGAATCATGAATAAGTCTAATTTACAGTTTGGTCCTGTGCATCAGAGCATGAAAGGGGAGTAGGGATCATGTACCGTATTCTCCCGGACATAGCACCCTAGGGTATAGCTAAAAATACAGGGAAAAAATGGGGGGGGTCTCCTCATAGGAAAAAAATACATAATACCCGGGTCTTTCCATATGGTATATTTTAGTGTTAGTGTTTATTTAATTAGACAATGTGGGTGTTTTGATTTTCATTTTAACATTGCTGTCTGAGGCGCGAATGTGGGTTTCGGCCACGAGCTTCATCACCCCCACGAAAATGCCATGTGGCACCTCTCTTGCCACTTGCAGCGGAAGATTCGCCTGCACGTGGTCACAGCGAAGTAGTGCGAGGGGGGGAAATCTCGGTAGATTGTAAGTGAATGTACCGCGAAATTTCATCTAGGGAGAAATTTTCGCGATATTCTTCAATATTGCAGCTACTCGTTAACGACTATTATAACGAATTCGTAAGAAAAGGGGGGTGTTATAGAAAATCAGCAAAAAAGGGGGGTATAGTAGAAACGAGGCTCCCCATAACACCCACCCCGCACAAGCTACCCGGGGGTGTACAATTATGGGGGGGTGTTTTGTCCGGGAGTATACGGTAGGAGTTGAGAGCACAAGCAGCTTGTTGGAAACATATAGTTCGCGCTTCTGATATGTCGAGCACTATAACAAGAACGAAGCAGACTCACAGCGAAGCAACACCGAATCAACCAAGCTGCAGCGAAGCGGTTGACAAGGCGACAACAGCAGGAGGTTGAAGTGAAGGTCAAAGGTCAGCAACCTTTGACTTGACAAAGGCAGCGCGACAGCAAGGACAAATAACTGACTCGCTATGAGCAGTTACCCGAGTCGACGCTGTATCGAACCGCAACAGCAGTTACAACCGCAGTTAGTTAAAAACCTTTCATATTCCTCGTAATCATACCGTCATGACCCGGATATAAGACAGTGTTGAATAGTAGACAGTGGTTGTCTATTATACGGGTGTCTCTTATAAACGGGGTAGCCTCATTATAAGACACCTATTTGTGTGTAGGGGCAAATGGCAAATGTATAACGAGGAAGTATCTTCTAAACGGATTTTTGTCCAGTTATAAGACTGATTTTTTTAATGTATGAGATAAGACATACATGTCTTATATCCGGGCGATGACGGTATAAAGCCCTGTATCTCTTTGCTATCATCAACTTATTTTGTTCTCACACACCAGTGCAAGGTGGTTCAATCAGCCTTCATTAAAGACGCTTCCGCTAATACCGTATTCTCCCGGATATAAGACCCGGGGGACTTTCCTAAAATAGAGGCAAATTGGTTAGGGTGAACATTTAAGGGTTCTAAACCGTAACAAAGTGAGAGCACATGTTGACACAATAAACACACTCACTCGAATCTGTGTGCGTTGGTCGACCTTGCAGGGCACCTGAAGAGGCCCCCCGCTGAGACGGTGCTGAAGTGGATCGCCCAGTCATGGAGCGACGTGCCGGAGCACATCATCGTCAAGGCGTTCCTGACCACCGGCATCAGCAACGCCGTTGACGGCAGCCAGGATCACCTCGACCTGGCGCACATGCGGGATGCTGGCCAGGTCGAGGTGGGAGAGGACGTCCACTCCTCCCCCTTGGTGGATGAGTGGGTCAACCCCCTCTACACCACGACTGCTGACGACGAGGAAGCTGCCCGGGAGGCGGACGACGAGGACTGTGGGGACATGCCCGCGGAGGAGGAGGAGGCGGAGGAGGAGGAGGAGGAAGAGGAGGAGGAGGAGGAGGCCGAGATGGAGGCGGAGGAGGAGGAGGAGGAGATCGAGGGGGAGGCAGAGTGGGGAGACGTGGAGGAGGACGAGGTGGAGTAGGGAATAGGGGGGTGCAAGAGAAAGGTTAGCTAAGCCGGACCGTAGATGTGTATGACTGTGTTGCTTGATGTACCGTAGTATTGACTCGTTCCATGCCTTCACATCGTGTCTAGTGTGGATCCAAGTGCAGTATTAATTCTAAACTGTTGGGCAATGGTTTCTTTAACAGAATCCCCTCCCCTAGGGGAAAGGGGGGGGTCTTATACTGATTATAGGCTTAGGGGGGGTCCTCTCACATATGCTACATATTAAGAGTCCCAGTACCGTTCAAAAGTCCCGGGGGTCTTTTTTTTGGGAGGGTCCTATATCCGGGAGAATACGGTACATCACTATGAGCTTTAGTCCTTGAAAACGATCCTAAGGGCTTTTCTCAGCCCAACATGGTATGAGAGCTAGCATGGACAAGTCTCAACTATCTCCACTTCCTACAACAACAGAAGACATGGCAACACAAAAGGAAAGGAATTCGTCCACTGGATCTCCTGGCACTACTCCTACTCCACCTCCAGCCTCTGGACTACAAACCGAAGGAGGCTCAACTCAGAGACCAGCTGCTGAATCCACTAAAGCGCCTGTAAACCAAGCAACCGGCTTCGACCCAAGCATGATGGAAAAGTTCTTCTCCTTCATGTCCTTCTACGAACAACAACAGCAAGCGGCACTTGCTCAGGAGTTCAAATTGTACAACGGAAGGGGCGGCCTTTACATCGAGAAGGCGGTCCTGAAGAACAACGTTTTCGTCCTCGATTTCGTCCCAGATCAAGGCACTGCTGACAGTGACGCAATAGTCAATTTCACCACTTGGACGCACCCGCCGGATCTCGACCCCGACTTCAGTCCCGGAGGTTTCTGGTATTCACACACCATACCTGAAGCAGAACCGACAAGGGCGTTAGCGGTAATCCAACAAACAACAGCACCAGCATCGGCATTGGCACAAGCAGAAGCAACAACAGAGACAACAGCACCAGCACCAATCGCTGGCCCTTTATCAATACCACCTCCCATTAACGACACCGCACCGACTCCCACTCAACAGCTGACTCCCGCTCCACGCGACGTCCACAGAAGCGCCAACGTCATCGCAGGTTTTTACTCCAACTCCGACCTGTACAGACGTTCAATTGGACATCGTGCCGACGAATCACTATGGCATCAAATGTTAGGACATCCTAGCAACACGACACTGAACAACACAATAAGAGCAGGAGTTCTCGACAAGGACTCGCTACTCTTACCAGACGGCACAGAACTTCAACGAGTCCGTGGAACCGGCTTCACTTGCCCCGAAGCCGACTTACCCCATCAACCGTTCATTTCTCACCACAACCCGAGCGCGCTAGCCTACGCACCACTGGAGAAGGTCTACGGCAACATACTGTACACTCACGAAAGCGGACAAGGAGCTTACAACTACATGATAACATTCATCGACGCTGCGACAAGATGCGTCTGGCACCTCAACCTACCAAGTCGCGACATGGCCTTCGAAGCCTTCGTCGCATGGCTCCTAGTAGCGGAAAGGAAGTCCGGAGTAAAACTAAAGAGTTTTCAGTCAGACGGGAGAGGAGAATACCAGTCACAGAGGTTCAAGCAATACCTGGCGGAGAGAGGCATCAAGCGACTCATCTCTCTTCCCTACGCCCGTCAACAGCAAGGTGTTGCAGAAAGGATGAGCAGGACTCTCCAGAACACCATGCGCAAGCTGCTACGTGGCATGAGACTACCCAACCATTAGTGGCCCGAGGCGATGGACCACACTGTACTGTTACACAACTTGCTTTCATCATCCTCGCTTCTGAACAACGCATCACCGCATCTGCTGTGGACAGGAAAAATGGGCAACACAAAAATGTTACGGGTCTTTGGGTGCATGGTACAGTACCGACCCCACACTGCACGAGCCGGGCAATTGTCATGATGCGCACAGTGGGGGCTACACCTGGGCATCGAAAAACATTACAACGCATGGAAGATCTTCGACGTCCACTCGAAGGAAACAGTAGCAGCGCGTGACATGATTTTCTACAAACGACTCACTCTTCAAACGTACCTGGACAACTTGGCAGCAGAACGAGACCTCACGGGTAGCTTCCATGGCAACCGAGCCTTCGCCTCGCCAGCAGATGAAGCAGACTGGGATGAGCAAAACGTGGACGGAGCATCGGAGGAAGCTGGACCTCTCCCCTACTGCTCGGTACCCGTTCCGATGGACGACGACAACTTTCGCGAAAGTGTCAACGCCAAAGTCTACTACGACTTCACCGACAAGGGTTACGTTACACTCCAGCCGGTTGTCAGAATGTCATATTTGTCTAGCCTGCAGTGGGGTACTCTATAGTGAGTACAGCCCAATCTAGGGTTTCCTATATGTACTCAACTGCTTGCTAGTGCAATCATCTTCTCTCATTCATTCCTGTTTCAATCTTCACACCGGTCAACACCAACATGTTAGAACACTAAGCACCTAGGAAACTAGGTGCATGCTTAGGAGGCATAGGAGCCATACTAGGGTTCAATGTCGAGAGAGTTTAGGCAAGGGAAGTTGAGGAGGAAGAAGTGTTTCACTAAGAGAATAAGGTACAAGATATAGGAGCGAGGGATGGCAAAGAGTGCACCACCTACAGGGACTATGGCAGTAACTACACTACAGCTAGAACTACATGCAGTTATACTAAAATATATATAAAATGTATTCTAACACACCCCCGAACTGCATGTAGGAATAGCCATGTGCAGAACACCCCCTGAAGGGGTACACCAGGAGCAGCGGAGGAAGGAGAGGGCAAGTGAAGAGGATGAGGGACCATGAGAGGAGAGGAGGTGGTGGGTGGCGGCTGAAGCTGCTGGCACACTGGCAGCTGGAGCAACTGGCACACTGGCAAATGGAGCAACTGGCACACGGGCAACTGGAGTAACTGGCTCCGTGGCTAAGCGAGCGGCAGGAGCAACTGACTCACGGGCGACAGGAGCAACGAGCTCACGGGCAACTGGCGCAACGATCTCACGGGCGACTGGAGCTGCTGAATTTACGGCGACCACCCCCCTTCAACTTCCCCCATTTCCCCAAACCTCAGTTCACACCCCTCAGCATCCCTACCGCCACTCCATCCCTACCGCAGGCTGGTGCTGCAGATCCCCTCCCCCCCACTGCTGCACCCGCAGCAGGGGGATGGAGGAAAAAGGGGAGGGGGCGGGGGTGCTGGTGCTGCAGATCCCCTCCCCCCCACTGCTGCACCCGCAGCAGGAAGATGGAGGAGAAGGGAGGGCTGGTGCTGCAGATCCCCTCCCCCCACTGCTGCACCCGCAGCAGGGGGATGGAGGAAAGGGGGGGGGGGGAGGGGGGGGGGGGGGGCTGGTGTTGCAGATCCCCTCCCCCCCCACTGCTGCACCTGCAGCAGGAAGATGAAGGAGAAGGGGGGGTGGGGGGGCTGCTGCTGCAGGTCCCTTCCTGCCACCCCCTTAACGGTGTAGGAGCCGCGTGGGCGACAGCAGGACCGTCGTGTACCACCCCCGCCACCCCCATACCCTCCCCCCCCTGCTTCACGAGCAGCAGGGGGACGGAGGAGAAGGGGGGGCGGGGGGGCGGTGCAGGGGCTGCATGGGCGACCACAGGTCGCACGAAAAACATCCGCCACCCCCTCACACCCTCTCCCCAATTCCCCCCACAGCAGCAGGCGCAGCCGTGAGAGGGGAGGAAGCGTGGCGGCAGCTGCTGCTGCTGGAGCACATCCGCCACTCCTTCACCCTCCTCCCACAGCAGCAGGTGCAGCCGTGAGAGAGGAGGAAGCGCAGCGGCAGCTGCTGCTGCTGCTGGCTTGGTGACAAAGCAGAGCAGCAGGACGATGGAGGTGCAGCCACCCCCAACCGCCACTCCTGCGTCCCCCCAACACCCTCCCCCTCCTCCCCGCCGCCCAAACTGCTGCACGCGAAGGAGGAGAGGGAGGAGGAAGTGGGTGGCGGGGACAACGGGAAGCAGGGCAGCGGGGCCCCCGTGTGACGGGCAGAAACCGACGCACGCCCGGGGCGTGCGACGGGCAGAATCCGACGCACGCCCGGGGCGTGCGACGGGCAGAAACCGACGCACGCCCGGGGCACGCAACGGGCAGCAGGGTGGTGCAGACAGGATCAGGGAATGAACCTGTTGTACATTATTGCAAGTGCAGTCTGACTTCATAACATTAGAAGAACCTTGATAGCACTACCTTTTTATTAGAATAATAGCCATGAGTGACAGACACTAACCGCAGCATAGCACCGTAACATTCGGGCCCTGAAATTATATGATGGATGGTGTGGTGGAATTAATGGCATCAAAGTAGCGGTTTGCCCTTCCAGTTATATCGCATGAGTGCAACATTCCATTGGTGTATTTTCTTGTTTTCAAGAACGCGGCGAGTCTTCTCTTAGGGCGTGGAACATCCTCGAAACATCTAGATCGACAGTCAACACCAACCCTACTAGAATGTGACACCAGCCGAACTTCGTTCAAGCTGCTAGCAGAAATAAAAGCCGTTTCACTGGCGGTTTTCGACTACGGGCGATGCACGCGCGCATCGAAAATCAACATTTCTTTCACGTGATATCAGGCGCTTCTTCTGCCGCGCTCTCTTCGTGGGCTTTCCGATTTCGACGATTTGAAAGCGCTTCGGCCATGTCGCCCTCGATAAACGCGCGAATCGACTACTAGTGACGCTGCTTCAGTGTGATCTCACCGAGCTTGTTTCTTACGATCCCAACATTCGTTCTCATCCCCATAATTTCGATCACGGTTGAAAGAGCGTAGGCCATGTCGCCCGCGATAAACGCGGAGGGAAGGAAGCGGTGCGAGAGGATCGGGTGTGACGCGTATTTCACGGACGCAGAAAACGACGACATGAGCTGCTGCTACCATCCAGGGGTAAAAACACTGACACTCTCTTTGACGTATGAGGTGATAGACCTTCTTAACCAGGGTTAAAGCAGTCGCGCGTGCCTCTTGTCGCGTCTCAAGAGGCTCTGACGGCCTTCTACTCGAGTTTCTGTGTCGTGAATTCACCCTGCGTTATGAGTGATCTGCCCCGTCGCTTGTCTCGGCGCGCACCACTTTCCCCGTCGCATGCCCATCGCATCACATGCACCGTCGCATGCCCATCGATTTTGGAATATATGCCCATCGCATCACATGCCCAACGCATCGCATGCCCATCGCATCGCATGCCCATCGCATCACATGCTCCGTCGCAACACCCATCGCACATGCACCGTTCCTGAATCCTGCACCATTTGCCAGGTTCACCTCATCATTTCTCTCCAATCTAGGTGACTTTTGAGTCGACTCAAAAGTCACCTCATGCACCGTTCCTGGATCCTGCACCATTTGCCTAATTCACCTCATCATTTTTCTCCTATCTTCCTTTTCCCTTCCCCATGCCCTACCCATTCCACCCCATGCCCCATCGCATGTCCCATCGTACCACATGCCCCATTTTTCTACTCGTCTCATTCAGTCGTTCGCTCTCCAATCTTTCCCCCCCTCTGCCCATGCCGCATGGGGTGTATGGGTTGAAATACATTGCGTGATGGCATGATTGGCCCACAACATCAACACCTGCTGTTGACATCAACACCTGCTGTTGACATCCCTTGCTCTTCAATCAGCCGGTATGCTCTTCAGTGGATACGTGGATGAGCAAGTGATGAGATGGGCAGATGAAGGGAACTAAGCAAATCTATAAGCGAAGAGAGGAAAAGGTGTACGGATGACGAGAGATGGCGAGATGAAGAGGTGAAGAGATGAAGCGATGAAGAGGTGAAGTATAGTGAGATGCTTGAATCAAGAGAATCGAACTGATGACGAGACTAAGAGGGGCAGATGGCCAAATGGGTTGGTGGCACGTGTCTAAACTTTGGGGATGCTAGTTCCCCCTCGCCTTTCTTGACCGCTTCTTCTTTCCTTCCCTCCCTCCCTCTCTCCCTCTTCCCCTTGGTCCCCCCACCACTGCCCCAACTTCTCACCAACAGCCGATATTCCACGACGGCACCAAGGAGTGGGTGTGCTGCCACAAGCGAAGCCTGCACTTCTGAGTCACTCTCTTCTCCCTTTCATTCTTACACACCCCTGCCCCCTTCCATTTCCCCCCTTTCCCTCCGCCCTTCTTCCCCTTTCTCAGCCAATTTTCCACGACGGCACCAAGGAGTGGATGTGCTGCCACAAGCGAAGCCACGATTTCTCGCTCTTCCTCTCCATCCCAGGGTAACGCATGGCATGCAAACAATCGAATTCACACCAGGGTAATGCATCACATGCAAACAATCGAATTCACACCAGGGTAATGCATGCGATTCATTCCAGCATATCTTGACACTTGGGCGTGCTTTTGTCCTATCTGCATGCCCGTCCTGCCACCCTCGTCTCTGCCTGCGCGTGTCTCTTTCATTTTTGCTTTTGAGTATAAGAGTGATGTGTTCCTTTTGTATGTATTTGTGTATCAGTGTATCGGAACTATATGACTGTGCTTGGTTTCGTATTCGCTGTTGATTCACGGGCGTCATTGTTCCCAACCTTCTGCTCGTGCCTTGCCCCCTCCTTCTGGGCTCCTTTACAGCTGCAAGCGAGGCAAGCACACCACTGAGAAGCCCAAACCAATCTCCCCTGCAGCACCAGCACCAGCACCACCAATGCCATCCCCTGTTCGAGCAGCAGGAGTGACAGCAGAGGCAGCAACCGCGACAACAGAAGCATCGCCAGCAGCAGCAGCATCGTCGCAGCAGCAGGCAGCGTGCAATAGATGCTCTCAGGGCTTCTTTTGCTCTGATCACAGTGCACGGCAAGGTGAGTGACATGGGCATGTGTTGTGCTGGTGCATGCAATCATAATCCCAGTGCATCAGGTGGCTCTTGAGTGGCAGCAGCAGGCAGCATGCAATTGATGCGCTTAGGGCTTCTTCTGCTGTGATCACAGTGCACGGCAAGGTGACGTGGGGACGTGCTGCTGGGCTGGTGCATGTGATCCTGATGCCAGTACACAGCAAGCAATCAGTGCTCTCAGGGATTTTTCTGCTCTGATCATAGTGCACAGCAAGGTGCACTTAATATATATTTCATGCTTACAATAGTGTGTGAATGACGAGGCATGATTTTGAATGTGTGTGTCGAGTCAATAGCGAGTTATCGCTAGTCGCGTGTCACGTCGTCGTTTGCGTGTCGTGTGCGGTTTTCTATTTTGTCGTGTGTGGAACGTTCGGCGTGTCGCAGGTGTGCGCAGCAGACTTCCAAGAACTCAAGGAAGAATTTATCTTGAAGAACCAGAGCCTTGGTTTAAAGATTCAAGTGATTTCGAAGCTATCCAAAAAGGTAAACTTCAAGATAGTGAGAATAGTTAAATTACTTTGTGTAGTGTAACATTTCTCTTGGTGTAGGCCCTTGTGGAGGGTAGTTTCGAGACCCTTCGTGGTTGGGGATAGTGTGGCACTGTTCCACATCACTGTACTTTGGCTCTTGGGGTTTGTAGGAGCTAGGAGTCATTCCAAACTCGTAACTCTTTCTAATTTGTGTTCTAAGTCTACAATGGCTGCCATAGTGCCGTTCGTTCAAACCAACGTTGCGTCATCAATACTTAATGAAATTATGCAATCTAAATTGCCTAGTGTAGAAGACGTTACGACGCTCCAAATCCCATTTTGAATCAAGTCATTTGGAGTTGTGATCAGAACGCTATCAACGTTTGAAGCCGCTGTTCAGAAATCCTACTATTCACTCTATCTTTCGTTTTAGGCACATTCAAGCCTATTGTGACTATAACACATGGGAGGGGAGTGGTTGGACATGGGTGAGGGGAATGGTTGGACATGGGTGACGGGAATGGGTGGACATGGGAGGGGAATGGATGGACATGGGTGAGGGGAATGGATGGACATAGGTGAGGGGAATGGATGGACATGGGTGAGGGGAATGGATGTACGTCGATAAGGGGAATGGATGGACATGGGTGAGGGGATAACAACAGTTGCATACAAGGGGAGAGACCCTTAGAAAGGTCTTGTGTTGAACGGAAACCAACTTGATATTGGTCGAGCACATGATTTGCCCGTGAAAGAGATCTGTTGACATCTCAAAAGGCACATGATTCAAAATGGTTTTGTGCAGTCCAAGAAGAGTAGTAGCACTTGAGCCGTGCATGGAGACTCTGGGGAGGGGGTTCGGTTTAGGGGTGTGGATGAAGTGGACAGGCACATTGAAACTGCTTCTCAGGTGCCTCAAAAGTCGCACTGAAAGTGAAACTCGAAATTAAAAGGAGAAACAACCTTTGGAAGGGGAGGATCTTGTTAGAAATGTATGTATAGCATGCTAAGTATAGAAGGGGTTGGGGCTACACCCAACTTTGGGTGTAGCTTGCTTTGTAGGCCTACACCCAACTTTGGGGTGTAGACTTGCAAGTTGGGGTGCCAATCCAACCCACAAGTGTTGGAGCCCCCAAGTGCAAGTTGGGTACCCCTTCTTTGCAACCCACAAGTTGGGTGCCCCCTCCTTACAATCACATGGTCCTTGTTGCAAGTTGGGTGCCCCCTCCTTGCAAGTTGCCATAGAGACTACCCAACCACCCAACTTTCCCCCTTCCCTTCCAAGTTTCTCTTGCATCCTATATATGCTTTCTTGTTCCCCAATGAAGCTAATGATTCAGTTTACAATTTTCACATGGTATAGAGCTAAGTTTTTCTAAGGCCTTACCTCCCCCCTCCAGTTTGTTTTTCCCAAGGGCCCACCATACGCTTCCCTCACGCCGCGACATCACCATTGCCGTTGTCCTCCCTTCCCACTGCGACCTTTCCGTTGCCGTCATCCCCGCCCCCCTCCCCATCTTGGCGCTTTCCCGCCGCGGCTTCCCCGCTGCCGCCCGTGCCTTTCCGCCGCGGCCCCCTTCCTCCCCCCCCTCCGCAATTTCCACCACCGCAATTCCGCCACGGATTTCGCCGCCGTGTCCCGCGGATTTCGCCGCCCGTGCCTCTCCACCCGCGGATTTCACCGCCGCGACCGCTACGTCGCCGCCCTCTGATCCTGCTGCCACGACCTTTTCGTCGCCGCCTGCCCCAGCCGCCGCGACCTTTTCGTCGCCGCCTGGCCCTTCCGCCGCCGCGACCTTCTCGTTGCCGCCTGCCCGTCCCGCCGCCGCGACTACGTCGTCGCAGCCTATGGTACCCGCCGCCGCGACTGCACGTCGCCGCCTGCATATCCAACCGCCGCGACTGCCCCATCGTCACCTGTACGTCCCGCCGCCACGACTGCGCCGCCGTCGCCCGCAATTTCCGCCGCCATGACTGCACCGGCTGTGAGAATGTTATATTTTTCTAGCCTGCAGTGGGGTTCTCAATAGTGAGTACAACCCAATTTAGGGTTTGCTATATGTACTCAACTGCCTGCTAGTGAAACCCCTCTTCTTTGTTTCATTCCTTCCTTTAGTTTCCTGACATGGAATCAGAGCAGGTCGACCCTCCCGGGTCGATCCTGTGCATGGGCCCACCGTTAGCTTCCGCTGCTGCTGTCCTGCCTATCGCGCGCCTCGGGCGCGCGCCGTTTTTCTGCCTGCCGCGTGCCCATGGCGCGCGGCATTTTTTCTTCTTCCCGCCGCGCGCTCGGGGCGCGCGGCGGTTTTCTGCCCGTCGCGCCACCCTGGTGGCTGCGCGACACCCTGCCCTGCCCATCGTGCGCCCCGTGGCGCGCGACGGTGCCCTGCCCGTCGCGCGCCCCGGGGCGTGCGGCGGTTTTGACGCTCTTGCGCCCCCCCCCCCCCCTCCCGTCGTGGCGCCATCGGGGGCCCGCGCGCGGCCCACTCCTGTCGCCCGTCGTGGCGCCATCGGGGGCCCGCGCGGCCCCCACTCCTGTCGCCCGTCGTGGCGCCATCGGGGGCCCGCGCGGCCCCCACTTCCATCGCCCGTCATGGCGCCCTCGGGGGCCCGCGCTGCCCCCACTCCTGTTGCCCGTCAAGGCGCCCTCGGGGGGCCCGCGCGCTGCCCCTCCTGCAGCCCGTGAGCCGCCCCTGCAGCTCACGTGCCGCCCCTGCAGTCTGCGAGCCGCCCGTGCCGCCTCCTGTCCACGTGCAACTGCGGGGTGGCGGGTATGGGGGTGGCGGGTGTGTGAGTCGTCCCTTGCTCCTCCTCCTCCTCTGTCTCCCACTGCTGTAGCTGCCGCTGAGGGGGGTGGATGTGTGGGAGCCGAAGGAGTGGTGCTAGGGGGGTGTGTCGTGGGAGTGAAGCTAGGGGTGCAGCAGGAGGTGTGAACGGCAGTTTTGGGACAGTTAGGGGGAGGTTGGGCAGAGGCAGCCGTCGTGTCGCCAGCAGCGCCAGATACTCCTGCCGCTCAGAGTTAGCCGCGGAGCCAGTTACTCCAGTAGTCCGGAGGCTACAATCTCTGGTAGCCACAGTGCGCGCCACTCCTGTTGCCCGTGTATCTGCAGCTTCACCTGTCGTCTCCTATGTCCACTCCTCTCACATTCCCTCCTCCTCCTCACTTACCGTCTGTGACTGACTCTAGCTTTGCTTATATTTGTGAACTATTGCTCTGCTTGCTTATTGTGCTGATTACACCCCACTTTGGCTATGGGGGTGTGTCAGAATGTTATATTTGTCTAGCTTGCAGTGGGTACTCAATAGTGAGTACAGCCCAATTTAGGGTTTGCTATATGTACTCAACTGCCTGCTAGTGAAACCCCTCTTCTTTGTTTCATTCCTTCCTTTAGTTTCCTGACACCTGCGTCGCTCGCGATTTACGCCGCCGCGACTGCACCTTCGCCGCCTCTGATTCCCACCGCCGCGACTGCGCGTCGCCGCCTGCGCATCCCACCACTGCGACTATCCACCCTCCCCGCCGTGACCGCGCCGTCATCGCCTGTCCATCCCGCCACCGCGACCCCGTCGCCCCCTGCATATTCCTCCGACACTACACCCTAATGTCTTGATCCCTTGGATCCGCGTAGTCCGTCTCCAGCTCCGCGAGCGGTTCCACCAGGACCTTCCTGTCCTGCGTCTGCACTCTGACAGAGGTGGTGAGTTCTCCTCAGGACGTCACCTTTGACGAGTCGGTTCCATTTTACCGTCTCTTCCCCTACCGCTTTGCCCCTCTCCCCCTCCCCCGCCGCTCTTCCTCGCTCCAGGTACCCCTCCGGTAGACCCCCTCCCCCCTCAGGGTCCTACTCCCTAAGCAGCAGCCCCCCCCCCCCCCCTGGCCGCCGCGGGTCCACCTGCCGTCGCCTCCCCCTTTACCGCCGCGGGTCCACCCGCCGTCGTCTCCTCCTTGGTCGCCGCGGGTCCACCCGCCGCCACCCCTCATGGCTACCACCCCTCCTGCCCCTCTCCCCCCTCCCATCGAAGCCTCCTTGGTCGACAAGCTGCAGATCTCTCCGCCATCAATTGGCACTCGTTTGTCGGCAGCATTCGCCGCGTCCTCTAGGACGCCTTCGCCGGACCCTACTGCATCCTTGACGTTCTCCTTCGCCGTCCGCAGGCTCTCCAGCCGACCGCACCCAATCACCCTGGCGAACCTCCTCCTCTCCCTCCCCCTCCTGGCTCCCCGCCTCCTGAGCCTAACCTGGACGTGGCCGCTGCCCCCGAGCTTCAGGCTGCTGCTGACGCCACCTTCC